CAGTAATGGAAGCTGCCATTTTAAACCCCTTTTTCTGCCGTCTGTAAAAGATAAACTCTGTAGTTCAGCAGAATGTAGCATTTCCCTGTTTTATTTCGCTGTGTTTCCTCCACTGATATTTATGACTGTTTTCTTGTTGGATTTTCTAAATTAAAGAGTTCTTCCACTAAATCAGCCTGGATGATCTGTTTCTATAAAAATCCCTGGGAGCTTCCCATGCTCTCTGAGTGGGAATCTGGCAGGAATGTTTGGCACACATCCTCTGCTGGTGGATAAATTAAATTAGATCCAGCGGTGGGCTGTGAGGCCCTTCAAAACGCTAACCTACATTCACAACCTAAACCTTTTCTTTTCTTCTATCCAACTCTGTTAATTTACTCCAAACAATCTATTCTCTTCATTCTGTAGCGTTTCCCTTGGCTTTGCTGCTTCCATAACTTTTATCTGGTTTCTGTATTTTTTTGTCCAATCAGATTTCAGCCTCTGTCTGTTGCTATGTCAGTCTAATCTGCCCAGGGCCTTCAGGATCAGCAGTGCTTAACAGTATTAGTGAGGAACGTCTTTTTTCAACCAATCTGATTTCAGATTTGCCCCACAGGGTCAGCTTGAGGCCCCGCCCCTATTTCACCATTTCCTGTCCTCTGATTGGTCAGTTAGATCAAAATGTTTACAGGCAATTAAGCTAGCGACAATTTGCATGTTTCAATCAAAGTGATTCTGGCCTCAATGGCCGATAATAAATGGAGATAATGAGACTTCCTGCATAAAGTCAGAAGGATGGATTTATTTTATAAACAATCAGCATCTCTGGTGATTGTGATATATTTTATTTTCATGCTTTATGCTCTATTTTATCTGGTAATTAGATGCATATTGAATCTGAACGGCTCCTGATGCGGTTATAGAGTAGAGGATTGCTGATATCTTAACTGGGCTTTTTGCTTAATTGATCTCCGTATTCATCATTGTTGCAAATTGATGTCCATATATATATATATATA